GTTGCTATTGCTGTGTTCCACTATCGAGTTGGAATTGACTCAAACGCAGTTTTCTGTGGCTGCAGATCACGGAGGAAGAAACTGCCTATCTTTCTTCAGTCAGAGCAGTTGGTGGATTCAAACTGTCTTTCTTTGGGTTGTCAGCACAACTTCTCACCTCTAGCCAGAGCTCCCCATTCTTAGCAGTCATCATTTTCAGACTACCAGGAATATTCTCACTGCCACTCTCACCAGTCTAGATCCTTTCCTATCCTGGGTTTCTCTTCAAATGCTACCTTTTTACAGAAGCCTTTCTAGACCACTTCTACATCGGAGGTACCTAACTCCCATCACTTTTATCACCTTAGAGTGTTTTATTTTCTTCCTATACAATAAAGGTTGGCACAACCCTGCTTGCTGAAACTGAGGAGGACCCGAAGCGCCTGTTGCAGAAGTTCAAGGACTGAAGCCTTCAATATGGATTGAAACTCAATGTCAAGAAAACAAAGATTCTCACCACTGGGACAATTGGCAGCATCATGATAGATGTTGAAGAGACTGAGATGATTAACAGCTTTAGTTTGTTTGTCTCTACAATCAACACTCTTGGCACAAGCAGCTAAGAAATCAAAAGATGAACTGCATTGGGATAATCCGTTGTCAGATATCTACTGAAGAGCAATGATGTCAGTCTGGAGATAAGAGTTAAACCAGGCTGCTCTTTGGAGGCAAGGATTCTGAAGCTTCGTCTGACACACCGTGGACATGCTACAAGGAGGGACCAGTCCTTGGAGAAGGACGCCATGCTTGGGAGGGTGGAGGGACAGTGCAAGAGGGGAAGACCCTCTATAAGGTGGATTGGTTCAGTGACTGGAGTAATGGGGGCAGGTGTGTCGGAGATAGTGAGATTGGCACAGGGTAGAACGGGGTTTAGGGCTGTTGTACACAGGGTTATTATGAGTCGCACATAACAATGGCACATAACAACAACAACATACAATAAAATCTGTGAAAGGAAGGACCAATGTAAGGTGGAAAGTGGCTAGAGAAGAAAGATGAGAATATTTTCCCCTAAAGCGAGTAGCAAGAAAAACAGGAAGATTGTGCACTCTGTCAAAGCGCAAAACTGGAGAACCAAGGCAGATCTGTTTGGCTCTGGCTCCGACAGGTGCACGGTACTGTATTTATTTGTATCTGCGATTATATTATCACCTTTACTTGTTTATTTCAGTAAAATAAAAGCTCCCCAGGACAGAAAATCTGTTCATGCACTGTGTCCACAGAGTCTAAACAGTACCTGGTGCTGAGCGAATGGACTGCATCCATTCATTCACAAGCTATTCCTTCCTCCTAGCAGAGAAAGTAACTCTGCAGGGTCTCATTCCCAAGCTCCGGGCACATGCACAGCAAGAGGGAGGCGCCAGCATGATGGTGGAGGCAGAGGCAGTGGGCAGGGGACCCGCTCCGCTCCTTCCTCGGAGAGGCGTGTCTGGGCCCTGCATTCTTGTTTCATGGAAGTGGTGCTGGCTCCTCAGGCCGGATCCCTCTTCCCTTCCTAACAGCAACAGCTGCATCACACTGTGGCTGTGCTCCCTGCCAGAACATCTGCTCCCACCGTTTCGGAATTCCTCCCTCGGGGACCTTAGCAATAAGAACAACACAGAATGTGCACTGCAGCCTCACCACTGTCGCCACAAACCCTTTATCACACCAAGTAATCCTTGTCTCACAGGGTAAAAAGGGTCGTACACAAAAAGAATCTGAGGTCTCAGGAAGTAATCAAAGTGAAGGTGCTCAGGGAGGGCTTCAGGAGCTGACTGAAACCCCACCAAACCCAAGAGGCCTGTCTCTGCCCTCAAAGCTGGAGCAACACTGGCTTCTTACTGATAAGAGAGGCGAAGACACCAGTTACTGACTGCTTTCCTTCTTTTTCAGGCCACTCCTATCACCTTTTGCCATTTCGTAACCTCTTACTCAGATGTTACAGTCAATTTGGACAAAAAGCTGCTGCAGCAGTAGGACCTGGACAGAATAAGAGACTGTGCCCTGTGTTAGGTGGCACATATTCTAGAGTTTACCAGACAGTGATGCTAACACAGATGTATTCAAGGTATGCGAAAGGAAGTGTCATTAGCCAGATACCTCCTCGGTAGGAAGATCATCCCTTTCTAGGCCTCTAAAATCTGGTTTGTCTCTGATCGAAACATTAAATGATAATCTTATCAAGGTTCTTTAGTTCTAAGTTGTTTCCAAGTAGTACTTTTGTTGTTTCCAAGTAGTACTTAGCTCCTATGTTGGATCCTAACAACCTTGTGCTTCTGGAAAGAGAGAATGGAAGATTTGCAAAGGAAAGGGCGATGTTAGGGCTCATTCTTCAGATCTGAAAAAGAGAAGTGGTGTGTGTTTCCCTACAGGAACATGAATCTGCTTTCCTTACCTCTCTCCGCTCCCTTCCTTAAAAGCTGACTGACCAGATCAAGAGAGACAAGTCAGGGTCCAAGCGAGTGACCAAGCGAGTGACTTTCGGACTCCTCTTTGTACTTGGCAGGGTCACAGAATCTTTATGTAAATAACAGGTGCCCTACGCCATTCTGAAGGGGGTACTTTAACGCCCTCATGTTATATTCCTACACACTCTGCATGTGTATTATTAACATAGATTAGTTCCATGAGTGTGTTACATGTTAAAAACAGACAGTCCGTGTCTGTCTGCCAGGAGTTCTGAGGAGGTAAGTTTAACTCTGGATAGAGAAGAGGAAGGCATGTAGGAGTCTCAGGAAGTCTAATTCTCACTCCAGGCCAGTGCTGTATTATTATCCAAACCAGCTTCACAGTTTGCCAATAAAGTTCATGTTCTGAATCTAAATTTGTTTTATGAAGGCCTAGATGTGTAAGGAGAGGAGAGGCTAGCAAATCTTAAGTCTTGAATTCTATTCCCCAAACCTAGAAAACCCAACAAAATAATTATCAGAGAAACTGGGATGAATGGTTGACCATTTACTTACAATAAGAAAGCTAATGTTTTTGTGAATCTTAGAGGAAGCCCTTTCAGTGAACGGAGCTCTGTTCTCCAGCCCAAGAAGCTGATTTGCGTCATGGACTGTAGGACTCCTCAGCGTCAGCTGAACCGACGACCCTCATGCCATAATCAGGCTGACATCTCTGTCATCCAGTAAACGAGGCTGTCCTGGCACTGACCGTGTTTTACTTCATCTTCACTGGACATGGTGTCAACATGAACTACACATCACATCCTGCCAGGCTGCTTGAGACCAGAGCAGGCACCTTTTTTATCACATGGACCACTGGAGCTGTACTAAAACATCCTAGGGTGAAGGAAGGATCCCGTTCAAGACAGAACTCTCTTTTTCATGACCCTCACATACTAGACAGTACGTGTCTCAACCAGTTCTCAATAAATGCTCTAAGGTCAAGCCCATCTCCCAAAGGAAATATGATTGTCCTGTATTAGAAGAGGATCTGATTCTTCAATAAACTTTAAGAGATAGCAGTGATTGAAGTATTTTGGCCATTTATAAAATGTTGGCAGGCAGGGTAGGTGTTCAGGGGTCCAGCAGCTTAACTCCTTCTTCGATGAACACCTTCATCTTTTAGTAACATCCAGAACACCTATTTCACTGGACAGAACATTCTTCATTAATCCCCTTGATTATGAAGAGTTTTTAGCCAGCTACTAACTCTTCCCACCACATTCTCACACTCCTAAAATTAGAAAATACCCTAAAATACAAAATACACTTAGAATGAAATTCACCATTCATGATAAGGGGCAGAAATCTAGATTCTAAATAGTCTTCTCCAAAATTCAGAATCATTTTGGCTGATATGCTATCCAATCTGGTGAGACTAATATTATTTATTCTTTGAAATAAGGCTGAAAACCACAAATCAGGAAAAAATATCAGCTGTTTTATTTCCTTATACTTGCTTTTTAAATGTATTAGAGATATTCCCCAAATGATGACATATTTGAGCTCATGACAAACTTCATTTATGATAATCTAGTTGTGGGTATTTTTTGGCATATTTTATCATGAGTAATAAATATAACTTTATGTTTAGTTTACTGATGTTTTCATTCTCAGAAGCTCATTTGTAGATGCTCAATGTTATAGCTTATACTATTCAAAAGCACTGACATGTAACAGGCAAGAATTAACGTTTTTTTAAAAAGAGGTATCTGACTTATGTAAGAACTAACTTTATGACGGAATTATCAAAACTGAATAGTCATAAGCTGGAGACCAACTGTGTTTCCAGTCTTTGCAGTAATCATTGCATACCACTCATTCAGTTTAGTCAAAACTAGAAAACTTAACCTGCAAATCCACTTAACTGGATACATGCACACATATGACATGCTGCAACAGGTGGATGAAGGTACTTCTATCAGCCTTGTGGTCTTGTGAACGTTCCCCCTCCTTTGGGTTATTTCATTAATTGTACATGCCATACACCCCCTGACAAACAGATTAAGAGTGCAATCTGGGTATCGAGAATTAGCCCAAGCTGGGTATCTTTTTCTTTTTAGGTTTCATCAGAATAATAAATAGTAGTTCTACTTTATATTTTGAAGACACTACTTGAAACAACAGTTGATATAAAGCAAAAAACCCCACTCTCTTATTTGTGTCAAAACACAAACACACACACACACTCTCTCTCTCTCTCTGTGTGTGTCTGTCTGTCTCTCTCTCAAACCAAATGCCAAGGAGTTGATTCTGACTCCTAGAACTCCTTCATCGAGTTTCTGAGGTTGTAAATCTTTAAGAGCAGAGAGTATCTATGAGTAACTGGTGGATGTGAACTGCCAACCTTTAGGTTATACATTATACCACCAGGGCTTGATTAGTAGGAAAGACAGACGTTTGCTTTTCACAGTTTAACTCCTTGACCATGGCCCCTAGGCCTGCCCATAGCATGAAGTGTCGCTGAGACTGGTGACATCAGACCATGCCTTCAAGGCAGCTAAGGTAAACAGCAAGCATCCTAATGGTTACCTGCAGGTCATTTTGTGGGTTCCAGTCTGAATCAAATATGATGCAGGTATCAGCAGCTGTGAGATTGATTCCCAGGCCTCCTGCTCTGGTGCACAGAAGAAAGACAAAGCGGTCTGAGTCCGGCTTACAGAACCGGTCGATGGCTGCCTGGCGCAGGTTGCCCCGTACTCGCCCATCAATTCGCTCATAGGTGTATCTGAGGGGACCCAAACGAACGAAAGCCCAGGTGTTAATCATGACTTCAAAGGGAAATAGTAGAAAAATGCAGAAATGTGGCAACTGGTGATCTTAAAGCCTTCAGTTAGAAATGTGAACCAAATGACAGCAGTCTGTAAAAAGCCATCTTCCTCTACACAGAAGTAGAGAAGACAACTGAAACTACGTCAGGAAATGTCCCTCCCCTCAAAACCAAACAAAACCCCCCCAAAATAACACAGGGAAAAACACACAAGGAAGCATAAAATTAAAACGATAAATATTATTATTAATCCCCACTGCCGAAGCAATTGGTTATCCAATAATTTTCCAGTTTATCTTGTGCTGAATCTTATCCCAAAACCAGAAAATGAGACTGCATTCACCTATTTCAGTGGTGTTTATATATATAAAAAAATTGGAGCTGCTTTAGGGTAACTGGAAAATGGCAAACATTTTCTACCAGGTGGTTCTTTTTTCCTAAAATAATAGGTCCTCAAAGCTTTAATTTAGGAGAGACTCACAGTAAAAGCAACAGGTTAAATGTTGGACCCAACATCTCCCAGGAAGTATACTGCCAATTAAGTGGAGTTAAATCACAGCATAGGTCTTTGACATGTGCGTTGCAGGGGGGAGGGGACAGAAAGTGTTTCGGAGGAAAATGAAATGCTGAAGTAAAGCTGAGTAGCATTTAAAAGGTGTCCACTTGTGTAGAAAGTCAAGAAATGAGGGGAAAAGTATGGCAGAAAAGTTAATGAAAAACCCAGTAGCTATGCTAGCAAATTCCTCATAGTCCAGCAACACAGAAAACAAAAATGGTTCTTATGATGCAGATCACACAGTGATCAAAGAAGTGAGTTACAGAAACAACCCAGACAGGTGCTGAGAGCCTTACTCTCTTCTTACTTTCCTCTTGACAAAAGAAATTGACAAAGCTGTTGTTACACTGAACCTAATTTTGACCAGCAAGCCAAGAACTGACGAAGGAGAAGTGATAGCAACCTTGTGAGAAAGGGGCCAAGTCACTTGAGGTGTGGAAACATGAAGGCTGGCAAACATCAGATCAGTATTTCAGAAATGAGGAAACTGAGTTTGTCAACCTTTAAAAAGCTAACTGATGTGAGACTAAGAGTAGACACCCTGTGTCGGGATGGTTTTAGAAAAGAAATAAATATTTAAAACGCATAAAGAAAGTTGAATAAAGACAATTTGAGATTACCAGTGGACACATATAGAGCAGAGAGACAAACCTGAAAATACTATCATTGTTACAATACATTACTAAATCCATAATGCAGCCATTTCTGGAATTACGAGTATAGCTTTTCCTCTTATTGTTAAACATAATAAGCTAAGAAACATGGGATCCAGTACAATGGGTCGTAGTGGTGGCAGGATTATCATGAAGATAAACAAAAAAGATCTTGTGTCTTAAGATAAAGGCTAAAAGGTCTTATGTTTGAATTCTGTAATAACGAAACAGCTGTCATTATTATTAATAACAAACCTTATTATTAATAAGAAGGTATTAGTAGCAAGCTCATAAGTGCCAGCTCTATACCAAGAACTGATACATACTTACATGTATCAACACATTTAGTTAGAATAATAATTTTATGAGGAAACTGATTGTCATAGATTCTGACTCATAATCACTATACAGGACAGAAATGGCTGTAAATGTTTATGGAACTAGAGTACTTAACTACATCTTTCTTCTATGGAATAGCTAGTGGGTCTGTAAAAGTCACCTTCCATTAGTAGCCGAAAAATTCAAGGTAGCTCAATTCTATTATTAACATTTTATACTTGAGATAACTGGAAGAGGGAGAGAGTAAAATAACTAGCTCAGTCACTGAGCTGATAAGTTGAATGCAGTTTAATCTGAACCACGTCTTTACAGAGTACCCTACACTTCTAATACAGTCGGGCTGAATGATTTCCTTAAAATCTTAAAGAGAATATTAAAGATAAATGAGAGACTCTAGGAGACTCAGGTAGCTTGTAACAGAAGCACAAAGCAGAAGCTATAAATGGGTATCAAAATTATTTTCATAAATCAATGCACTTAGGACCTGGCAGAGGTCACTCACAGAAGTTTGGCTACAAAGGTGACACGGTGGAGACAGCACAGGATTTAGACATGGAAGACGAAGAAGAAGGGGCTGGGAATCAATGATAGAACAGCTTCCTCTGCCATCACCACCAGCGCAGTGCAGAGGGCTTCGTGTTCAAGGCCTTGTGTGTCATCAGACTCAAGGGGAGAAGTCAGGAAACAGCGATGACTGAGCTCAGTTATCAACAGAAGCAAAGTTTCTAAGGAAACAGTACAGCACGTTTTCCACTATGGTCTACTGATATGGTTTTAGAAAATGTGCAGGATGGATGGAACAATACTTCTTTTTTTACACGCATTAATTTTAAAAGTTCTCAAAGAATAAAATTATAAATAAAATTCTCAAAGAATGAAACACTAAGTTAAAAGTCCAATTAGTTAACCGTGTCACTGAGTTGGAGCCAACTCAGAGCCAACACACCAGTGAGTTTTCAAAGGCTGTTAATCATAAAGAAGACTGCTCATCTTTCTCCCATGGAGTAGCTGGTAGATTTGAACCATCTGACACTGGGTTAGAGGTGCAACTCTTTATCCACTAGGCCACCAGAGGTCTGCAGAATCACTCCCTATCTTTCCTAACTTCTGAGCCAGCTCCTTTGGCTATGGCACCATTCTTTCACAAGAATATGGCATTAAATGAAATGGCAAGAAAACCAAAAGGACAGCTGGAGAGGCAAAGAACTCAAGAGCAAGGGAAACTCTGAGGGCTGTCAAGTTAGAACAAAGAAATCAGGCCATAAAGTCTTCATACCAAACCTCAGCAGAGCAACTAACCATCTGCGACAAGTGTTCTGATAGAATCCTCAGGCTGGAGCTCATCAAACTGGAATTTCAGTCACTAGGAGGTACTAGGAGACCAGGAGGCACTGCTGGGAATGGTGGTGACAGTGTGTAAGAGAACAGAAACCAGTGACTTCCCAAGCAAGAAATGTTCTCCACTGCAAACTATGACCAGCTGGGTAGCATCTCAAATACTCAGAATCAAACTCAGTAAGAAATCTGCAGAGGTTGGAGTCTTCTTTGTTTCGTTCACTAGAACAAATAAGTCTGTTTTGGTGGAAGTGAAACCAGGATGCTCCTTGGAGGCAAAGACGGTGAGACTTCACCTCATCTACTTTGGACATGTTGTCAGGAAGGACCAGTCCTTGGGGGAAAACCCCACCATGCTGGAGAAGGTGGAGGGTCACAGAAAGAAAGGCAGACCCTCAGCCAGGTGGACGGATACAGGACTGAAAAAACGGGCTTGTGTACGTGAGAGATGGTGAGGCCGGCACAGGCTCTGCTCTTCACAGGCTGCTGTGAGTGGAAGTTGACTTGACGGCATCTACCAACAGTATCATGTCCCACTCATTGAGATGTACAACATCTAGCATTATAGGTACTTTACAAAGAGTGACTGAATGAACAGCATCTTTAAAAAATCTTAAATAAGTGTAGTGACAAGTTCTACCTGATTTCATATTTGTCAAAGTTAATCAAACACCAACCTGTGGATATATGTAGAAAAAAAATGTATAGTAAATGTTTATAATACACATACACATACTTTTTTTGTTGGACTAAATGGATTAGGTATAGAATAAAAGAACCATTCTGGAGGTCATTTAGAATAACTTCTTGTTAAGTGGGCTTTAAAGACTTTCCAATTCACTGGGAAGTATTTAAGTTACATTTTCATTATAATCTAATGTACACTAGAATGAATCATTGTCTAGCCCTCACCACTGTCATTACGTCTGAGTCCACTGTTGCAGAGACTGTCAATTCATTTCATGGCGTCTTCCACATAATGTCCTTCTCCAAAGACTGCTTCTGCTATCGAGTCCCAGGTAGAAGAGACAAAGCTTCACCATCTTTACTTCCAAGGAACATCCTAACTATACTTGGTGTTTCTGCATATTCAATATTTGTGATATATTCAATATTTTTCATCTATTTCATAATCCAAAGATATTCATTCTTCTTTGGCCTATGTCATTCATTGTCCAGTCTTCCAATGCATATGTTGTTGTTGTTATGTGCCAATGAATTGCCTGTAACCCATAGTGACCCCATGTACAGAAGCTCTGAACCCTGCCCATTCCTGGACCAGTCTCAGAAGTTCTTCTTATACCATGCTTATTCATTGTCCAACTTTCAGATGCATAGAAAGTAACTGAAAAGACCATGTACTGGATCAGGTGCACCTTATTCCTTAAACGGACATTGCTGCTCCTTAGAACTTTGGAGAGCTCCTTCCTAGATCTTCCCAGCATGATATATATCTTATGATTTCTTGACTGCTGGTATTAATGGTGCTGATTGTGGATTTAAGTAAGGTGAAATTACTGACAATGTCAATCTTTTCTCCATCTATCATGATGTTGTCTACTGGCGCCCTGGTGAGGATTTTTGTTTTCTAGATGCTGAGATGTCCTGCAAAATTCTATCATGACATCTCATACACACTGTTTCTATCATCACAGCATTATGATCTTTATTTCCAGCATATGAATTCCAATCACCAGTCATCATCACTGCATCTTGACTGCACATTCTGATAAATTTCAGGCAGCAGAAGCTGGAAAAACTGCCAATCATCCCCGACACAAGAGACTATACGGCTGTATTTTTCACCCCACTAAGGCCCACAGTTATCAGTCTTTATGGGTTCATTTCATGTCTGATAATTTCTAACTTTCCTAGATTCATACTTCATATACTCTCATTCCCATTATTAATAGATGTCTGCGGCGGTTCCTTCTCATTCTGTGTTGTGCCACATCATCAAACAAAGGTCCCAAAAGCTTTACTTCACCCACATCTGTAAGAGCGACACTCCTGTGAAGAGGAAGCTTTTCTGCAGTGGTCTTTTGAGAGCCTTCCCACCTTTCAGGCTCAGACAA